TGGTAGTTTACTTGTACCATTTTGGGGTCTGTCATGTCAGTACAACAGCATGGAATGACGTACCAGAAGGAAGCAGAGGCAGAAGCAAAGCAGAGGAGACTAAAAGAAGCAATAAAGAGTAAAAAGTACACAGACATCTAGTTCCCTCCAGAAGTCAGCAAGTTTGCTATATAAATAACCAGGCAAAATGCAAAGTGTCAGACAATACCAGTGGGAGCTACCATAACACATTTCAGCAGTCTGAAGAAGACAAAGCAGATAGACTGGGAAGGAATTCAGGACACATGCAGTGTGGCTACCTGTCTTTGGACTACCTCCAACACATATAGGTACACACTGTGCAGACAGAAAGGCGTCTTAAAAGGGACATGCCCTCATATAAAAATGACACCAAGGGATTTTAGCAGCATTTACTGTTAAGTAAGATCAAGGACACAATCAGGAGGGTTAACAGCAATGAAGGGATAAGCTTCTGTGTTGGTCACATGGAGAGTAAGACAATTTCGAAGGAAATGGTAGAGCAAAGAAGCAGTAAGCTGTGTGAGCAGGAAAAGGGGAGAAAACTTTTGAACTGCTCCACTGGAAAAAGGCAAATGCACAAGAATAATAAAGGGTGACGACATGGCTGTCAAAGAACATGATCAATGAGAAACAGTTATTCTGACAGGATAAGAAAGTGAACTCAAACTAAATCAGGCACGGACATGGGAAGCAGCAGCAAGAAACCTAAGGGTTTATCTCACAAAAAGGAAAGGACTAAAGAAGTAAAGGCTTACACTTGAGAATTAAGGAAGCAGCCATGAAGAGAGCAGAGGACGGTATAGGACAGAAGCTCAAAGGAGAGGAAGACAGTGAACACAAGATCAGGTAATACAGAGGAGGCTTAAGAAAAAAAAATAAAATTGTTCCTCATCTCTCATCATTCAGAGATTTGCTAATATTGGGCAAGGAATCCAAGCATGAGAGCAGAATGACAGAAAAATCATCAGCACTGAGCTATGAACAGCAGACAACTTTTGAGATCATTTCAAGGCAGGGCAAGAATATTGTGAAGCTGGCGACCACAGGATCACCTGAGGTTAAGGAGACGGAGGTGAACCGCAAAAACAATGCTGCTCCTCCCAGGCAGGCTGAATTGCTCGCTACCAGGAGCATAGGCATCTTCTCAGGGAAGAAATTGCGAAAGATATTTAAACAGTGACCTCTAATGGACAAAGCACATAATACCGGTATTTCCACCGGCAACAGAAACACTCCAGGTATGACCAGGTAATGACACAAAAGCTAGAATCTCCAAATAGGATCCCCAGATCATTACAACACCAACTAATCATCTCAGGCAAGTAAGTCAAATAACTGTTACAGGAGTTACAAGTCATCAAAAACTGACAGCTTATCCCCCAAAATAAGTGAAAATAAACCACATCAAGTTGTCCGCATTCTCATGACCAGCACTTGTACCTGCTGTCAATGCTGAAGTAACTTTCGACATCCCAGCCTGCCTTCCAGTCACACCTTCCCTTCTGTGCACTCCCAGGCTGAATTACAGCTAACCTGAGTTTCTGAATGCTCTTCAAGCACACTTCCTATTCATGATTTTAATTATCAAATATGGATTTTAATTATCAAATATCATCAGCATACCCAGTAAGGACATTAGTAAGGACTATACTAGGACATGAAATTTCCACAAATTTGAGGAACATTTGTCATGACTTCCATTTATTTTGATGTTCGACAACAGGTCCAAAAGACACCTAGGTTAGGACCAGACAATCTATGCAGGCCAGTAGCATAAGCATGACTGTCTTAAGTTTGCTTCTCACCTGTATATTGCATAAAACACTTTATGACACTAAATGGTGGAACAAAAAGCTCCCAGTACAACATATGGGGACAATGGCCCATGTATCAACATTAAGAAAAAACCCAAATACACACTTCCTCCCTCTACTTCAAATGTATTGTCACAAGAGACCCCAACATGGAATCACAGCAAGTGGCTCAGAAAACTGCATATTACAGCTATTTAGCTTCACCTAGAGTTTAGCTTCTGATTTTGCAGCAAAAATTCTCACTGAGCAGCTGAAGACAAACCAAGCTGTTTCAGAAGTTACTTAGAGCAGAAGCAGCCAGTTTAAGATGCCTCCATTAGCAGAGCACCAGAGAGCTGAAAAAAAATCCAGCCAGTTCACCAGAAAAATCAATGCAGATTTGAGCATTTCTGATAAGGAATGATTTAAACATGTAAATGCACAAGCACCAGCAGTATGAATAGCATACTAAAAATGTTAACAACAGCCGTGCCACAAAAATATTCGAAGTATGATGGAGTTAATAGTGTGGTCCTTATACTCACTCATGTAACTTTACTTACTTTTACTAGAGTTTGCTGGCAAAAAAATGAACTATGGTTACATGAAAATATGCATATCCAGTGTTACATGTATTTATTCTTCCAGATAGACATATTTACTCTAAACAGAAGGGGGAAAAAGCAAGCAGAACACTCATTTAAATGGCAGAAAACTAGCAGAAGATGCTAATATGACCTTAGTGTAGCATGTCAAGTGTCACTGCCACCAGCTTCCTAGCCATTTTAAGAACAATCTGCTAAGACAACTAATTACATAGCTTAAAAGATTAGGTCAACAGTGTCAAATACGAGAATATGAACTTGAAATTTAGCCTTTTAAAAATGTGTGTTGTCTATTGAAATGTCTACATCAATTTGTGAAAGAATAGTAAGATTCAGACTTGGTGAGTTACTTCTCAGGAGAAGCAGTGGTTTTACCTTCCCATAAAAGAAACCCAAACATAGCAATTAGAAGGGCTGACAGAATCCTGTGGCTAAGAGAACAGATACACTTGCAGCCTGCTGATCTAAGGACTACTTTAGAAGAAAGCAGGAATTAAAAGTTAAGATTTAATGTAACCCAACTTACAGTAATGGCAATCCTTAAACTGGTATTCTGAAAACTGAAACTGCTTTAAACAAAGAGTGTACTCTAGATTTTTCTTGAATAAAGACAACCTGAACACATTCTTACTGGACACTTCTTACGATCATATCTTTACCCCTCCCCAGTCAGGTCTACAGCTAAGACTCATAGCTAGAACACTAGCTATTTAGCTAGGACACAGGTTAGTTACTTAGCTTTTAATTCTGGTGCTCCTGCTCCCCAGGCTCAGTTCTCAGACAGCTAAATTCACCACAGTTCAAGTCTTGAGGGAGTTTCAGCCTCTCTTCTCTTCCTCAAAGCAAGGTAGATGCCTGCTATTTGCCCAGCCAGTCATGTGTTCAGCTGAACTCTTAGCTATGTATAAGACTCGTAAGGTGTCATGCAGAAAAGATGATTAAGTCCTTGTAAGTCTGTTAGTTTTCAAAAGTAGTAGAATTTTTACAGATCCAAGAGAAAAAACAGTCAAGTTTACCAAGAGTATTGCTTACAACTTGTTTCATCCTTGTGCCAACTAAGCAGCCATTCAGACAGAACATATCAGAGCAAATGATCAGCACCAAAGTTCTGCCTTGCAGCATCAGGTACCCATCTGTGGATGAGTTGTCTGATGACAAGCATTAGATGGAGGTGTGCAGAACAAGCTGCAACCCTTCAGAAGCTGCACAGAAAGCTAAAGTGGCTGCATACAACTAACTGCCTAGCTCTGAAGCAGCTCAAGTTCAGAGAAAGGTCCCTCCCTGCAGTGACCTAGGGGAACACAAAAGCCACCAGCTGGGTGGCCCCATAGCCTAACTCCACCAGGGGCTGATAACAGATGTCAGGCAGCAATATGCCCAAAGCAAGTTTAACATAATGCTCTCCTAAAACATTCTCTCAGCTTCAAGCTATTTATAACTTCACTATCTTCTAAACCAGGGGTAGAGCTGTGTGTTTGATAGCAATGTTTACAGATTTCCCTGCCTGGATTTGCTCAGTCATCATGTACACATTAGATGCCTGGAAATTGCTAGTCAAATTTATAAATAGATAGAGATTTATTTGAAAAAACTTCAACAGGGATAAAAACAGAATAGCAAGATGCCAGCCTATAGGACACTATATAATCAGAAGCAGGGCCTAGGATAACTAATTCATACTTCTCACAGCCACTCACATAATAACCATATTTTTATTCACTTACTACTGCTACTACAAACCATTTAAGCTACACATTAGCACCCAATAAACTGCATCCAGAGAAGTGTTTATGTGCTAAAATCTAAAAATATTCTTTTTTCCCCCCTCATGCTTAATCCTATGCAAATGCTCAGAACCTTAAGCAAGATTTTCACATTAATACATATGTTTTAAATTACACATACTGTCTTTACTGCTTGTGTGGCAAGTAGAGTTCAGTAGGTTGGGTTTTATTGGTTGGTTTGTTTGGGGGTTTGTTGAGTTCTTTAAACTCATATCGATTTGTGAAGATTTGCGTTCTCATGACATGTTATTCATCAGCGCCACACTTAAGGGCTTCTTTACTATGAGAAGCAGGATCCAAGGTAATAACTGTAGGTGGTGTGCACAGCACAAGCAAGACAACTTACACTCAGAAGATTTTGTTCTGACAGAAGCAGACTGCCTGACTTTCACATCTGAAGCTCGCATTCAGTTGGTCTTGCTCACATGCTTGGTTGTAGATCTAATGTAGTTGAGTTGTAGTTTATTTTCACCTGCTTCAGTCAAATTAACCACACATCTACTAAAATGCAAACTGCATAATTTCTGATACAGTTAAAGATTTTGGGCTGAACTGGCAACAAAACTGAGGATTACAGATCTTCCAGTATGTGGCAGAGCTTTACTGAAGTTGGAAAGACATGCTGAACATTGCTGCTAAGTCACAAGCTCAAACTCTTTGATTTTAATACAGTGCTTCATCAAGAAGCACTTTAACAGTGACACTGTGATGTATTAAAATAAATCAAACTAGCAATATCCCATTTTCATTGTTGCTCAACTGACTGTAATGAAGTCCAAAACCAGGAGTATACTTACTTGTAAGCTTGTTGTGACTCAGAACCAGCTGTGTGATGTGAGACAATGTAACTGCAAATGAAGAGAGAAAGAAGTTAGTTTATGGACAATGCAACTGAAAGCTTGTACCTGTTTCAGCTGAAAAAAAGAAAAAAAAAGAAAAAAAAGGGGGAAAGTTATTATCTCCACTCCAGTAACTCCAGTTTCACAAGCACCATCACAATAAAAAAGACAAGCTCAAGACTTACAGACTTGTCCAGCCACTCCTCTGCTCCTTTACTTTATGTTTAGGCCAGGCTGGACAGGGCCTTGAACAACCTGGTCTAGTGGAAGGCATCCCTGCCCATGGTGAGGGGTTGGAACTAGGTGATCTTTAAGACCTTCAAGGTTCCTTCCAACCCAAAACATTCCGTGATGCTGTGACCTAGCACAACTTGAGTAATAAGTACTGGTGTCTCCCAGGAGAGGTCCGATTCTGGGCACACAGACACCTTTTGCATTCCCACCCTTTCAACACTTCCCAAGTTAAAACTGATAGGTACTCTTAACATTTATTCCAACAGAACACATGACACACCAGCAATTACATTTTCACACGTTCCAAATTCATTATCAAGTCACTGCCAGATTTAAGTGCTAAGTATCAATAGCTGCATTTACAACCTCACACCCATGAAGCATGGCAGCAGACTAGCGTTGCTGCGTGGTGAATGATCAAACGACAGCATGCAGTATTTACTCAAAATTAACTGAATGATCTGATTGATCAAAGCCCCTCAGATTCCACCTTATTAAACAAATATGCGTGGGGCACAAGACAACTAGAGACCAGCACTCCTCCTACATTTCTTCATCCTTTACATTTCTTCCTGCCTATTTCTGCCCTTCACACCAGCATTGTTTTCCCTAGGAGATACATAGCCCACAGCTGAGAACAGTATCTGATCAGAAAAACATGCTAAATAGTCAAGAGGAGAAACTCACACCTTGAAGGAATTCTCAAACATATCCCCCCTACTTGTAAAAAGTTTGTTGTATTTTATTGGAGCTAGAAAAAATGTAGAGGTTTTCCTCCACCATGCCTTTTCCTTGCTTCCATTGTAGCCTCTCCAAAGCAGCTCTAGAACATACCTTTATGCCCCTCGTAGGCAGCTGGGAACATTTCCTGCCTGAAGGACAGCTGTAGTGCCATGTCTCTCATCCCTCAGAGCTTTCCTCAAGCAACAGACATCACTAATATTAGCCCAGAGACAGCCCACGCACATCTCGCTACCTTAGGGAATGAAGATATCCTGGTGAGTATGTGTGAAAGATGGCCATGCCAGCCAATACTTACTAAATTGCGATTTGGAGGAAAAAGCTTAAAAAGCTTTTACTTACTGATACAGCATCATGTGTCGGCTAACCTTTGAAAGCTCAGGACTTAAAACAGGCAAATATAACCTGTTGGCAGAATGAAAGCAGTCACCGCAGTTCCTAGTGCAATCACAGGTTGCGGAGGAAGGACAGGCAGGAAGTAGGAAGGACAGGCCGGAAGGAGGAAGGATGAAACAGTGCACCCACCCTACATTCTCCTAAAATATGAGCACTGCAAGTATTGCCTACACTGCCACCTCTCAAAGCAAAACAGAAGGACAGAGAAAGAAGACCAAAGAAAGTCTGTAAGAGTACTGTGGAAAAATCAGCATTAAAAGGCAGGCAAGAACAGCATTCTCCCCAAAGAGCTCTAAAACCATAAAGCTCTCTAAAACACAAAAGGCACATCAGCATCTGAACCATAAGCAACCATTTAATGCTATTGATTACTTATACATAGAGCTAAACATAGGAATGCAATTCCTACAAAAAAAAAAAATTACAGAAGATGCTTCCTGGCAAAGGTCTGCACCGACCACCCTGCAGGTGCAGGGACTGGAATGTCAAATTGGGCAGTCAGGCACAGAGCGAGTTCTAACAACTTTTGCACTGTTTCTTTTTTCCTTTGAAGCCAATGCTTCCCCTGGTTTATTACAGCAGAACAAAGACAAAGGCTGCTACCCCACTTCTGTGGCCTTTCAGTTTTGCACAGAGCTTTGCCAGCTTCAGCACAGAATCCAAAATTCAGATAATCTTTTCTTTGCTGGTGTCCATAATGAACTTTACTACTTTAAAGCCAGCAATCCCCATTATATGCCTTTTAATAAATCAGCTAGACCAACTTGAGAAACTATATGAGGAAAGGCTCAAATTCAGCTCATACATCCACCAATACGATGGCCATTTATCAACTCTTTTCTGCCACCTGTTCTATGATCAGGATCTGACTTCTATGAAGGATCACTTGTTAAGACTAAGACTAGACATGTCCAAGGCTACCAAAATAAAGCTCTTTAAGACAGCAGTAAAGAGGTAATCCTGATTGTGCCCCACAAAGCAAAACATCCATTTAAAGCACACAAATCAGAATGACAACTCACACAGAAAATACTAAATGCTGCTTTTAGTCTGTTTCTGTGCTCAGAATGTAATCCAGTATTTAAAATAAAAACCATGATAAATCATATTTATAACTCCTGCAAGAAGCTAGCTTATCAGGAGACACCACTTGTATGCAACATATTTGCACCACAGAAGTATAGCCTCTGAAATGCACTAAGTGTGAGACAGCAGCACACATGCAAGTACTTGCTCTGGATCACTTACAAATTGAACTAAAAAGTGAAAGAGTAAGAAATGTTTTATTAATAGAGAACTGAGGCAGACCTTGCTCTAATCCATGTGTACACAAATGATGAACCTTTCCTGACATGATTTTATCATTTCTGTACACAAGAAGCGAGGATGCGTTTTCAAGGGCAATTAAGCTTTGGGGCTGCAGACTCAGGTCTTCTGAACATCAAACTCCTGCTGAATTTGCACATCATAAAATGTTCTGTGCATATTTAAAGGTAAGCCTGTGGACTAAACCATCAAGCCATGTGCACTGCTGGCCTTTAACAACACAAGCTTACAAGCATTATTCTCAATACTCCCTCTCCATATTTGTCACACTGTCTTCTTCAACCAGTCTATTCTCAATACGGTTTCGTCTCACATGTCTATGCAGAATAGAATAAAGTCCCAACATGAAAAATTTCAAGGCCAAGATTCCTAGACCAAAGACATTTCAATCTGGACTCTACTACCCAAATGCGACTGAAGCTTAGACACCTTGTCTGAAACTATCCCAGTTAATCTCGATGTGTGACAAAGAGCCCCACTACATCTTTGGTCTGCAAAGCAGGCTGACATCTCCCAAAGGAATAAAAAAGGCAACGTTCCACTGTTAGTTTGAAAAGAGCAAAGGTTTAGGCATCTGTGCTCTTCCAGTAGCACTTTAGTCATATCTAGATAAAAAGATCTTCAATATTGAAAGGTGCAAAGCTACTACCAGTCTGGAGACAGATTTGCAAGCATTTAAGAAAGGGAGCCTGGTTATAAAGCAGCATTTGGTCACTCATACAAGGAGGGGAATTTGCTCACTTACATGAAACTGGCCTTGTGCGAAACAAGTCTGGAAATGCCATTTTTTTCATCACACTGGCACTCACCTAATCCTGTGAGGAGTACTGTGCAGCGGGAACAGCTGGCTGTGGTTTTCCTTATCCTATACACAAAGTCAGCTTTTCATGACAACTCAACTATCAGTACTTCTGATAAAGACATTTGTCTTCAGCAACTAATTAACATCCCCAAGTATCATCTAGAAGGCTGAAGGGGTCCTGGTGGAGCCATTTTGCTTCAGACGTGCAGCTCAGGTAAGCCTAACTGGCAGGACTTGCTGAGCATCACTCCACAGGTGATGGAGTGAACTGTAATCCAGTATTCACCCCAAGTGCCAGTCCCCTAGGATTCAAAGGGCACCATGGTTCCTATGGGGGAATTACTGTAACCTGTCTATGATGACACTTGGAGGAGCACCTAGATGTTAAACACCAGCTCTTTCAGGACTGCAGCCCTCAGATCAGATGCCTTGTTAACATTACAGTAATGAGTCCACAGGCAGCAAGTTATTTTGATTTCAAGAATGCACCAGATACCCACACAGAAGTTTGAGGGTCAGGATACTAACATTTACCAGAGAAATTGATTTGCATAGTAATAAGAAGTTCTCATTATGGTCTCAGTCTCACCATTGCTTCAAAACAGACTGGGTCAATGGAAGAATATTAAAGCTGTTCCCTTTTGGCCTTAGTATCAAGCCTTTTATATACTTACGTAAGTTTACTTTACATAAAATACTTAGACGACAAAACTACCTTTTTTTAAAAAGAAAAAGGGGGAAACAAACCAATCCCCAAACAGGAAGATCTTGTTGAACCAAGATAAGCCATTGTCTCTCCCATTGGATGAAGTTAATGCAGGATGAGCATTAACAGTATTGTACAAAATGACTTACAAGTATTGTATCCCTCCATCTTCTGTGCTTTGGTTATTTTAGGAGCAGGCAATTACATAAACACTAACTTTCTGATAAGTAATTCTAGGCATGTTAATTTCTACCACACACCATGTACTTTATGTAAAATATGAATAGCTTGCAGATGGAATGGTAACAAGAGCATATTAACACTTAGAGAGTAAACAGCATTTCATCCAATATTCCTTTACTGACTGTAAGACTACAGAGGACCAGATGTCTCAAGTTATCTGGGCAAAATAATTCCTTAACTCATAGCTTTCCTATATCGATCACTTAAAGATACATAAATGAGAGATCAGAGACTGGTCCCTGCTCCAAAAACAATTCCCTCACTGTTGATGGCTGTTTAAAGTCCTACCCATAATTGCCCTAGCCATCAGGGTAAGGGAAAAAATGCATCATGCCCTAGTTGCTGAACCCAATTGTTCATCCTACAGGACGTCTGTTAATGCTAACATTACCTGTCTGTGTTGGGTTCTTTGTAAACAAACAGATCTATTTATTTCACAATATGAAATTATACTTAAAGAAAAAAAAAAAACAGAACCCAAACCATTAGACCATTTCCACAGGGCAAGGCATTTTTAAAACTTTTCATGTATGGATGACAGCTATAGTACAGATGTGCTCATAATTGGTGCATTCATCTTATTGCATGCCAGAAGAGGGAGAAAAGCCTTTAAAGTTTAAAACTGTTTTGCATGGTCTTTACATTAGTATGACAAACTAAAGCATGGAACACCCAGATCAAGGAATACTCATAGTCTCAAATCTTTTCTCTACAGAACATCTTTTAGAAGAGCTTTCTCATATTACATTTATGAAAGCCTCAAAAATTCTGATGCTCTGAAGGCCTGTAGCACAGTTTTAGTTTGTCCTTTAAGACATTAGGAGAAAATGCGGAAGTGCCTGGATTCGAGGAATATTCCAAAAATAGAACTCAACTTCTAATGGCATTAATGAACTCCTGAGCAAGCAGCATTTCAGGGACTAGTGGGCTTTTCTTTGTATATCTGAGCACCACATTATAAACAAGCTGACAACTCCACTCTGCCTTTATTAAACACAAAAGTGGGAACAGATGTAGAGGCTGCAAAGCTTGTAAGTCTAAGTTAACTTAAGACGGTTTCAGATACCAAGTGTTCATCTCCATCCATTCCACCCTGATTTGGAAAAAGACGTTGGTACTTGACAGAGGCAAGTTTAGTCTGTTTTTTTCTCTCCCACACCTGCTCCAGAAGGTAGAAGTCAAGACAAAAGAAACTACGAGTGGCTGCCCTGCATTGTATCAAGTCATTCACTAGACTGGAAAGAAGCCAGAAAAAAATCCTATCCAAGTCAGGGCATATATTCCCCATTCTCTTTTCTCCTCTCTGCCCCCATGTAACACCAGTTTTCTCTGATCACTTATGGTTGTTTTCTGAGTTTGTTTGCTTTTAAGCACACATGACAAGAACAGGTCTGCACATAAAAGAAGAGGATTGGCACACTGAGCAAGATGCTACACATTGTGCTGCTGCTAAATCCTTGCGTCATGTAAATTAAATTAATAAAGCTTACATAGGAGTCCACTAGCCACTCTGCAGCAAGTACTCACATATGCAGTGGACAAGGCTTGGTCCTTTTCTTGAAGGATAATGAAGACTACAGGGAGCAGTCTACTTTAAAGAGTTACTGACTATTGTGGGAGGGACATTCACAACCATTAAATAATTACATAAGATAAAATCCCTGTCAGGGGCTATTGAACACAGTAATTTAGGAGTATCCTCCAACCTACTAAGTCCTTAAACCTCAAATGGCCAAAACCAGTGAAAATGCCACCAAAATGTTCCCTCCAGTCATAAAGTTATCCTTATCTCCAAACATCTACTAGTGGCCTTCATTAATAACAAGATGCTGTAAAAGAACAGCCATTGGGTATGAATCATGATGGCTGTTTTTAACAAAGACCTTTATTTCATTGAATAAAACCACAAAGTTTCTGAAAAAGCAAGCTTTAACGCCACACTGAATTGGAAAGATACCCAACACACCAGCTCACTCATTTAGCTTCCCTGCCAGTTCTGAGAGCCAGAGAGCCAAACCACCCCATCTATACCAGAAAAGATCAACCATTAGGAGCCAGATGACACGGTTAGAAAGCCATCAAGTTTAACATCTTCTCAAACCATTCCGTAAAATTCACAGGTAATATCAAGTCATTACTTTTTTTAATGTGCATTTGGAGGAAGTAATTCCTTCTCCAGATGGGAAGTGGCAAATACTTTGACAATTAAAAAAAAATACAAAACAACAAAACAAAACCAACCAACCAAAACCAACCAAAAAAAAATAACCAAAACCAAACACCAGAACCCCAACTTATAAAGCTTTCTCTGCCAGAGCGCATAGTAACTGAAAAAGCAACATCACAATTGAACAAAAAGCAGTCATCACTGCCCCCTCCCCTAATTTCCATCTCAAATTGGAGAAGACCACACATCCCCATGCTATATCAAGTCACACAATGTGCACCAAGAGTATCTGCATACAGACTTCTCTGCTGCAGCCTAACTGGGGTATCGCAAGTCTACACCTCATGCAGGGAGCCCCCTGCAAAACAAGCTTCAGATGCTCCATTAGTCATCTGGCATCAGGGACAGGGCCTTGAGCAACCTGATCTAGTGGGAGGTGTCCCTGCCCATAGCAGGGGGTTGGAACTGGGTGATCTTAAGGTCCTTCCGAACTCAAACTATTCTATGACTGCCCGTGGACCACAATGTTGCACACTGTGGTCCCTGACCCTGTCTGCACAACTCACCCAAAACAGTCTTTGCACAAGAACAGCTTTTCTTACTTCAGTGCTACTAGCGTGCTTTACTGCTACCTTTCTTCCCCCACCTGAAAGATTAAAGCTGGGTAATTAATTATGTGCTTTAGTCTACTTAAAAGTAACACTGCTCTGGTGCTGCACCATACTCTGAATGCATTAGTTTATCTGAAAGGGGTAAGCATAGTTCTGAAAGCAGGTCTGTAAGACTACTCTGTCTCAAACAACTGTTTATCCAATCAAAATAGAGTGAAGCTTTCTGTTTAACAGGAGTTATATACATATATACAAGCTTTCCAATGTAATCTTTCTGAAAGCCCACATGCAATTCTGAAGCATACAGAACCTAGGTTCTGCACAACTGTACTTAAGTCTTCATCTTTTCCTGATGTGACTGATGCTTAGTAAACAGCTAAACCAGGATATGGGTACAGTTTCAAGTTGGTTAGTTTGGATTCTGTTTTCTCCTCATTGTATCACAGAGGAAAATTTCCGCCTGTTGCACACTAGCCAGTCACAGCTTTAATTCACTCTGTATCAGCTGTACCATAACATTATACACACTCCTAGCCAAAGCAAAAATAAGAAGTTACCTGCCCTGCACTTCATGTAAGTGTTCTCCAGAACCATGACAGCACGGAACTACTGGTATGTTGTAACTGCTGTAGTTGATTTATAGTAAATGAAACACACTGTCACAATTCTGGAAGCACATGCAATCATGTAATACCCAGAGATGCTACTACAGTATCTGTAATACAGTACTACCTTATTCTCCCCCAGAGACCAGCCACGTGTAGCTCCAGGCTGGTATGACCTATCCCTTTGAAAAAGTGGAGATGCTCCTTGGTAGTTTTTGCTTCAGTAGCAGGGAGGGGCAAGGACGGGCAGGAAGCAAAGTCTCCCACCACTCAAGTGCCAGAATGAGAGCACTGAGAAACGAGGCATTCTGCAGGCTCCAGGTGATGGAGAGACGGGTAGGGGTCCTAGCTTCCCACGCCGGTCTCTCCGGTGCAGCGGCTTAGCGTTTGATCGTGACCACGCTCACGACTCGTTGCGGTGCTGTGGGGCGCTGGTAGCATGGCGCTTCCCCCTGCGAACGAACCCCTCCCTGAGCCCCCGATGCCCAGTGCTCCCATACACCGCGGAACACCCAGAGGAGGCTTGGGCAGCCCCACCGCCGCCGCGGGGCCAGGGCAGCCGCCGGCAGCGGGGAGGTCCTACCACCACCCTCACCCCCCTACCCCCCCCGCGCCCCGGATCGTCCCGGGACAAATAAGGAAGTTTCCGCGCTCTCCCCGCCCGCCGCCTCCGGTACCTACAGAGGCCGGGAACATCCAGCATGTTGGAGATGCCGCGGTCGCACATGTCCACCTCGGGCTGGTTCTTCTCCCTGCTCTCCTCCACGATCTTCTTCAGCGACTTAGACATGGTCTGGGCAGGGCAAAAGCGGACACCGTGAGGCAAGAGGCGGCCGGGGCGCCCGCCGGGACACCGCGGGACGGCTCCTGTCCCGAGGGGGCCCAGAGCAGTGAGCCCACCCGCTCATGCGCTCTGAGCCGCCCCAGGGATCCCGTCCCGTCCCGACTCCACCCGCCCTGTCCTGTTCCGTCCCGTGCCGTGCCGCCGCGCCCGCCCCAGCCCAGCCCAGCGGACCCCTGACCGGGATACCGGCCACACTCCCGGCCCTGGGCGGAGGCACGGGCCCGCCGCTGCGGCCATGGGAACTCACTGCGCGGTGCTGCCCCGGTTGGCAGCCGGACGCGGCGGGACGACAGTCGGTGGCCCCGAGGGCGGTTCCCGGCAGCTGCACACGCCCGCCCCGCCTCACCAAGCCTCATCCCACCGCCAGCCCCGCGCAGGCGTGCTGCGGCCCGGCCCGGCCTGGCCCTGCCCCGGGAAGCGGAGGCTCTCCCCACACCTCCTCAGGGCCGCGGCCCGCCCAAGAGGCTCCACCCACGGCTAAGAAGGCGTCGGGCCAATCAGGGCGCCTTCCTCGGCGCAGGCCAGCTGACAATTGGCTGGAGGGGCTGGAGGAAGGTTCGCAGGCCAATAAGCACGCCCCGTAGGTGGCTCGGCTCGGCTGGGCTCGGCTCGGCTGGGCTGTGTGGATCCTGCTTTCCGGGGCCGCAGTCCTCGTCGCGTTCGGGAGTTCCGCGCTGCTGCTGTGCGGACTCAGTGCCATTGCCAGGTTTGAGGGAGTCTTGCCCAGGAGGGCAGCGCGGGCCTGCGTGAGGAGCTGCTGTGTACGGCACCTTAGGAGAGGGAGCTGTGCTCTCTTCATGCTGCCGCTCTGGTGGCGGCAGTTCTGCACCATGCTCACTAGGGGCGCGTGTGCGTCTGGGGGTTGGGTAACGGGTTAGCGCCATGCGTGAAGGAATCTGTCCTTTCCCGTTACTAGCCTGCAATGCTTACACACCTGGCTTTTCAAAATGCAGCTTTAACACCCAATTCCATTTCTATAGCACGTAAAAAGCGCTGTGCAAGTGTTAACCCAAGAAGGTGGGTTGTGGTCAAAGCACCATTTTGCACAGAGGAGAAATGCGCATTCGGGGAGCTCCCACAAAGCACCTGCAGCAGCAGCGGCCTCCCGTGCCAAGGTCTGGAAACCAGCAGGTCTGTGCGTGCGGTGGCTGGGCAGCTCCATGCCCCAGCGGGTCAGCAACAGGAGAATGGAGAAGCTGCCAAGCCATAGAGCTGGAAAGCTCAGAATGACCAAGTAAGGTTTGAGGGCACTGAAGTTTGGCAAAGGCTGCCCTAAGGCAAAAGACATTATCCCCCCAAAATCTGAGTTCATCAAATCAATGTTTTCCATTTCTTCAGGTATGGATTTTCTAGTCAGCTTAGTTGCAAAACTGTTCACAAGGCTGGGCCCAGGTTCAGTACTTTTAACTGACCTTGTCACCATGATGCTGGAGTTACAGCCTTACTGCCCATGATGTATTAGGGCATATGAGTTCTTTGACAGAAGTTAAGAAATTCCTATTTACTGTCATTTGACAGCTATGGAAGCTCAGAGAAATTAATTGCAATCTATAAAATTGCCTAATGCCGTACTACACATTGAGAACCTCAGTCTTGACTTTTGTATATGCGCTCCCTAAACATTGCATGGTGTTACAAGCTTAAAGAGAATAATAACCATAGAAACCACAATGATGAATGTAAAGGTACCTAAACCAGGAAATGAGAAATACTGCTGGAGGTGCAGCTTTAGCTTTTCCTTTTTAAGGAATGTAGGGATTTAATTCTGAGTTGCAGAATTGAAGCCCATTTATCGATAAGTGGTGTTTACTACCTTGAGTCCTTTCCTCAAGTTACAAGCTGCCAGAACACACCTGGAAGAACTTCCTTTTATCTAGATTGCTCAGCAGAACACATGGTCACTCCGATATACAAGACAGTGACATACAGTTCCTCTTTGTCTGCAGGAACATTAATTCAAACCCTTTTCCTGTCTAAGAAAATGCCCTAATTGCCAGTAGGCAGTTGTCTTAGAGACCTAGGCGCTAGCATGTGTACTGTTCTTGTTTCACAAAGAATGAATGATTGCGGGCTTCATTTAGTAGCAAAGGCTTAGGCTCTATTTTATAGATCTATTGTCTATAAAATATGATCCTAACTTGCTTATTCCAACAAACAGATAAAGCACACGTAACTGTGACAAGATATTCATGAAACAGTGTCTTCTTGGCTAATGAGAAGCTCACCTGGCTTCCGACTGCCCCATTTATGCAGTAATAAAAAACAATACCCTATTACATTGTACGTGTCCACAGTCTAACCCTACCATAGAAGTATTTAACTACTCCCCACTTAATAAACGTGTTGCCATTACAGCCTTTAGTCAGGATTTGTTTGTTTGGGTTTTTGTTTGGTTTTGTTTGTTTGTTATCATGTACCTAATTTCATTATACGTAAATAGTTCATGTATCACTCGCACATTCTGTGTGATCTAATTTGGTTCCTGCTTTATCAAACCCTTCATCTGAGTCAACGCACTAATCAGTACCTTAGTCAGATCCACACTGGATTTGGCAAAGAGGAGTTGCTATCAAGCCTTCCTGTTAAAGCTTCTCAGCTCCTCATGAAGCACTAAATATCAATTATATGAGAAGGAGGATGGATAAGAAGTACACATGCCATGCTGTCTGAGGTTCACGTTATTCCTCTGTCTTGAAAGCTTAACTTTCAGGTTGCTCCATCAGCAGTCATACTCTTGAAGAGTAATTTCCTGCAGAGTGCCTGTGCCATGGCAGTAGCCCCATCTCCCCTCTCTTACCGTGTTCCAGCTCTTCCCAGTACATCCAGTTGTCTCACAACCCCTTTGACTCTGGATAATCCTTAGCACCTTCTATACCTCCAGCTAGAGGCTGGTCAGCCTGTGCTTGGGGACTGCCCAGTGAAGCTCTCCCCTCATGTACAGTGTTTCAGCTCATACATAGTACAGGCTTTTCCAATTTAGACCTCGCTGTACTTCCAGCTACTGATTTTTTGCTTATGAAACAACTATAAAACATCTCTGATATCTGTCAGATTTGTTCTTAAGTTTGTCACTTTGTTTAAATGTCTGTAGAGCAAATGCCTGAATTCTTTGCCAGAGGGTGGCATGTGCCTTCTGTCCTTGGGACAGCAGGCTGACATGGGTGGCTCTGAGGTGGATGCGTGGCCAGGATGGTGTGGCAGAGCTGTAGCTGCTTTGGGGTGGTAAGAGGAGAGAGAAGTTGCTCTCTGCATGGGTTCCCCTCAACCTGCTCCACCCAGGCAGCGAGAACTGGATGTGCCTTCTGTCACTGTGCTGGGGAACAGCAAGGGGATGAGCAGCTCTGATGCTGCCCTTGCTCTGGCTGTCCTAGGTGGCTCTTCTAACCAAGGAAATGAGGCTTTGCATTATTATTCTATTTATACCTCCTTTTTTCCTCTCCAAGAAAAGCTGTCATAACAGTTAATATTAATGGGGGGTTAGCGTACCATCACAACAATACAACAGCAATGTGCATCTGCAGAACCAGTGGTGTACAGCATTACAGTTGTTATGTGTGATAACTGTCACATAGTATTTGTTTTACTGACCTTGCCTTGTAAAAGCAAACTTCGAGAATTTAGCCTTTATTTTTATTATCAGCTAATAAATAAACATTTATTTGTTAGTAATCCTGCACTGTTGCTGCTGCTGTTATTATCCGTAGTCAATGCTGTGAGTTTTTGTTAGATTTCATTTTAATCAGGACTGCAGAAGAATTCTGTGGTTTTAGTTTGGTAGCTGACAAAAAATAGTTACACTAAATATGTTAATTCTGATGCCTAGGACACTTACCTTGAGTTACTGTGGGAAACTAAGACGGCTCCTTCTTTGCTTTATGAGTTGAGTGAAAACTGTTTTTCAGTCAAAACTGCTTTGTAAATTCAACTAAAATTAGCTAACATTTTAATTTGACCAGCACTATGATTTCTAGTATTTTAGCTGTGTATCTTCTCTCTCCTTTACTTCAAGTAACTATAACCCCAATGGTCTTGTTGTGGTATTACTTCTCATTTATTGTTTATAAAGAATAGCCCTGCCCCTGGGAAGGGCAATTGAAAAAAATACTGTTTCAGACCTTTTAGAGCTTGTTCTTCAGTCCTAGCCTTATTACTCATATATAACTGTCTCAAAAATATACCTCCCTATAAGAATAAATATGTATAGTAACATGTAGAAGACTATTTACATGTAAGTAAAAAACATGCAGGCTCTAGGAAGTGAAAACATGCACATTCGTTATCTGTGCTTTGTCATTGGCAGGGGAAGGGTTTTTTGTATATATGCCAGTATTATAGTACAGACATGCAGTATTCACAACTACTGAGACATTATTTATAAAATAGCAGTGTGCACAGACATAAAAGCAAAGATATTCACAGCAATATTGTGAGATGAAGCCATAAATATTATTAAACACAGGCTTTGTCTTTTGAATTGTACACTGCAAAAAACATGTAGAAGTTTCATGGAATAATTATTCTTAAGTTATCTGTTGTTCCTGTTTGCTTCTGCTGTGCATTCATTTTAAAGCAAGTGTTTTAAATGACTTCTTACCTTCCAAGGCCGAAACATGGCTTAGCATCAGCTCTGTCCTCTGAGGACCTCCACTTTAATACTTCTGCAGTGGTATTTCTGTTGTGGTTCCTTATACAAAATGTTAGAGGACTGCAGTGGGTTACTTTGTTTCTGTTTTTTTAAAGAATGGGTTTGATAATTTACTCTAATTTTAGACTTTGACTATTTTTGGCAAGAGTCGGTTGGGCTAGATCAATTGAACCTTGTACCAGCAGCTTCATTCAACAGTCTGCATGTGCACAAATTCTCTGCTGTTTGTTCTAAAGAACTTTATGCATTTTACCTATTTGTAAATAAAGTTATTGACACAGGTTTGGAGTATTTGTAGCATCTAAAGATGCACCAAGCATTAGTTATTGTTAGATTTAAAAAAAAAAAAGAATAATCTTACACATTTCTCTTCCATTCATAGTGTTCTTTTGTCTTCTGCAGAAGCAAGTATTTAACATATCAAAAAGCGTACAGAAACATTTCAAGTGAAACGTGCTTTTTCTGTTGGTGAAACAAATCTTTCTGAAGTACAAATTGAATTGGGTTAACTGTGGCTCCCGTCTAGAGATCAAGGCCAAAGGTCGTGTTACCAGATGGCCTCACACACATCACGGGTCACCGGATCGCCCTATGCACTATTCTCTAAGTCAACAGCAGGCCAGCTGCAGTGTGGGGAGCATGGGCATAGGGTTGTCCTGGGTAGACTCACCTTTGTGTCCATCAGCTGTGACCATGTGGCTGATACCAGTCTCACAAAGCCATTAATGAACTTCATTCATTAAAACACTCTATAGGTTTCCTTTTTGTGTCAGTTTATGCTCTGTCATACTCCTGATCAGGCCAAGGTTTAACCTGAGAACCTGTTGTCTGTCAGGGCAAACTCCACTTTTAACAGGGGAGATGAACATACTGCGGAGCACCACCTGCAGTGGCAGGGAGCTGTTTGGGGATACATGCCCTTCTCTTTCACCTGTGCTTTCCAGCTGAATTATGCTCCAGGCTGGTGAAATGCAGAAAACGACAGCGTTCTTGCCAATGTGATTCTGGCCTAAAGTCAGGTGCTTCCATGACCAGCACCTAGCAGGAAAAGACAGCAGCCACATCTTGAGAGGATTTTCTGCCCTGCACCAAATCCGCAGTTATTGAGAGGAAAATCAAAACCAAAACAGACATTCACAAAGCCCTGTGATGCAGCCATTCACAAGGAAGAAACAAAGTCCTACTGATGTCTGCAGGAAAACAGCTGAAGCCATGCTTGATTGCACTTGCAGTGCCTCACATCTTCATCTACTATCTTCAGAGCTTAGTTTGTAGCTTTATCTCCAGGCAGTTCAGATGTTTGTTTTCATTACTGCTTGCTGTCCTCTTTATGGGGCTTTTAATAAACTTTATGGACAAAGACTGCATTATGCCTTGATTGCAAATGTGAACTCGGTTTGGAGTGGTCTCTCATCAAAAGTTTTCTGGGCTACTAATCTGAAAATGTTTAATTTAACTATATGTTCTACTGGAAGTTCTTCAGCAAAGTTATGAGTGTAAGTGCTTGTAGGACAGGGGCCATCTTTTAGCAGTTTCTAATTCTATTCTAATTTTAATAAAACTCTTGCTAACATTTCCATAAGACACCTGGGACAAAGCCACATAACTCTGTAGAACTAATCAAAAGACAACTTCATATTTTACGTCCTTACCAACTTCATGTTGAATATTTTGTGTTTAAATTTTATCCTGGCTAATTCACTTTTCATAGCATGAAATGTAAAACTTTGAAATTATGTGGAAAAACATAAAGAAAAATGTGTTTCAAAAAGTAGCAAAGCCTCATTTTCCCAGTTGGGTAGATCAGAGTTTAATTTCAGTACAATGGGAGATGACTTTTTTTTGACAGAACTCTAAATTCGTAACAGCTACACTAAGAGTAATTTTGAAAAGGCCTTACTTCAGTTGCAGTTATCATAACTGGATTTCAAACTTACTTTATCATCTAAAGTCTCTTCAGTATATCAAGGAATGGCAATACATTTCTCATAAACAGTGTTCTAGCTTGTCCAGCTTAACTGGAATCCTGATGGTAAAGTCACATATTCAGCATGAAATTTTACGCTGACTTGATGAGATGTAGCAGTAAATGGAGCAATGTTTGTATCCTAAAAGTAAAGACAAGAAAAATGAAAAGCTTTATTGAACATCAAGATCCTTTGGAAAAGCTAGTCAGAGAGTTAAAACTGAGGCACAGATTGGATCATAGCTTGGAAGTAACCTCAAGTCTCTCAAGTCTGTGCTAGATACTGCTGTTCCATTTCTCTCTGAGGGTACCACAAATATTTAAATCACAAATACAACTAAATACAGAGCAAAATAGCTTGATGCGTGCCACTAGATGTCACTGTAAGGGCTGCAATAGATGGCTTCTACATGCCTTAGGCCTTCACTTACATTCGTCTATGGGGAATTCATGCCAGTATTGGTGAAACAGTCTTGAATTTGAAAGAGTAAAGATTCATTTTAACCACTTACAGGGTCACAGACAGTAGGCAATACATACCATCCCACAGTATGGTCCAGCTGAGGGATAGCTGGTGTCTGGCCCGTTGTAAAGGATCAGATAGTTGCTACTGCAATCCCCTGGGTCATCGATGCTGATGAAATTGAAGTTCACTGTGACAATTCGTCCCTTGGGCGCAGTAATGGACCACTCACAATCAGTGTTGTTGTGGTAAGTTGCCGGATAGCTGGGACTAGCAAATGAGCCAGTTCTGCCGTATAATGTTCCTCCACATCCTGGAAACAGACACTGATAATTAGCCTGTAAGGCTTAGTTTCACAAGGTACTACATCTTGTAGTACATTAGCACAGTATTAGTAGTAGCACTGAAAAAGAGAGACCCTGGAAGCTGGAACAACCAATGTGGATAACAGCATTATTCCAGTAAGAGACTAAACTGAGGCTCTGGCTTCAGGAGCCTGAGAAGAATATGCAATGAGCATTAGACCATCACTGGATATTAAAAATTAGAACTCCCAAAACTGTTTGAAACAGGAACCGAAGTCTAAAGGCTGTGCCTTGGTCAGTTCATTTGCCAGATACTTCACTAGAGACAAACTGTCTGGCTGTTCTTCGGAATGAAAAAGTAATGAATCCTCATCTGGTTTGCTTGGTTTGCTTTGAACCTGCCACCTCCTGGCTTTATCTGATGGCCTCTGGCTCTTCTGTGGGAAATGTCAGTGAATAGCTGATCACTATTTATTATCCAGTATCACTCAATTTTATAGATCTCAGTAGTTTCTTAACCAGATTTAAAGTCTTAGCATACCTCATGCAGAAGCCATTTTGAATGCTGAGCCCTTAGTTATAATAGTCCTATACTATTCACTGCCATTTTGTAAGCCATTTATGAATGTGTCTATGATATAGTCACTACACAGCATTATAGTTAGGTTGTTTTCTTGGGGCATATTTCAGGCTTAGTAGTGCCTAGATCCTAGGACACATTACGGAACTATTAATGGAGTAGGCTGAGTCACCACCACCATTGCTCTGTGGATCCCAAGACAGATGTTTCTGGTATTAGCTGAGCTCTCAGTGAAAGAAGTAGGTCTTCATCTTAAGTGGACAACCTCCTCTGGGGTTGCTATAGTCAACATTATATAGAGGGAATTGCTTCCATCACATAAAATGGATCTCACCCTACTGGTCCTGGGGAATATCTGCCTTTCTCCAGTGACTGAATAGGTTGGGCTATAGGTGCTTGGGAAGGCCTTAAGTATTGACAAGGAAGGGTCCAATTATACATTCATATATTTTCCCTCTATGTGGAATTACTTTGTAATTACAGTCTTACCACTTGATGATGAAGTCCAAGTAATTTCATACCCATCACGAGCCCCTGAAAAATCACTCTTGAAACGAAGGTAGACAACATGATTTTGGGGGAAGATGGGACTAGGCACAGTGTTTCCACAGAACCTGCCAAGTAGTGGTGATTGCACATCACTCCCATTTCTGACCTTCAATGGACACAAAAGACATTGTCAACATTAAATCCCTGTGCCAGTCATACACGAGTATAATTATGCAGTGACACAGGCATAGCACAAACTATGTAGTGACTTGCATGCATACTATAATTAGCGTTTTAATACTGTTATTTTTCCAACTATATATTCTTGAAGAGAAGGAAAAAGAGACCATTAACCAGCCTTTTAGTATGTAATTGCATAGAAAAGTATCATCAGAAACAGGCAGCTAAATTTTATGGTGTGGTACGTCCTGACTGAAAAAAATTACTTGACTAGTAGCTAAGATGTGATTTTGCAATTCAAGCTCATGTTTTATTTTTTCATAAGAAATGTTAATATTCTGGATGAAAAGATGTGCAGCCCACTCACATTAAGACACAGATCATATTACATAGCTCAGATTTAATCTGATTTTTTCCTGAGCTCCAATACTGCTGGTGCTCAGATCTATTTCTTGAGACAGTAAAGAGGATATGAAAGGAGAACTAAATAAGATTCTGCCACAGACATCTGATTTTTGTCATCTGACCAGTGAATAGGGAAACCTTCAACAACAACCTTCAACAAGCATGAAAGGACAGTCACTTCTTATTAGAGCCCCCCCTTTTTTTTTTTTTAAGAAAAAAATGCTTTTTTTTTTTGAAAAAAAAGAAAAATATCAAGCAGATGGTATCTACTGCTGGAATGAAGACACTCAGATTTATGGCATTCTGTTCATACACAGATGTTAAAATCAGATGAAAACTATCCTGGCTTGCTCTGTTAACTGTGTAACATCAACAAGAGCTAGGTAAAGATGAGTTAGCTGATAATGAAATTATTTACTTACTGGTTTTGGACTTAGTTCAGCCTTTTAATGTAACATCTGAGTAATCTGATCAGTTAGTCCGTTACCCATAAAACAGTAGCAATAAATTAGTCCCTAATGTCAGTTCATCTCAAGCTTGATCCAAGTTTATTAATATACTTTGAAGTCAGCAGATTTTGACCCAGGCCCACAAAATACGTATACTTGCTTGATACCTCTAGGAAATCATGTGAACACTGGGTGCTGTCTTCCAAACTGAAAGCATGGAAAAAGAGAGAAATTGTGTGATTCAGGGGAGCTCGTAGAATGATGGAACAGTCCATATTATTGGGGTGGTGACCAGGCCAGCCAGGGCTCTTCAGGTAACCAAATGGTTGGTTATATTCTCTGCTGCAACCTTGAGGCAGAAAACCAGAAACATGTAAGCATTTCAGATCTCTTTATTGCTTTTCACTGTAGGAAATAAGCAAAAAGAATGGTAGGTAGATTTTTTTAGATGTTTCTTCAAGCTTACCTGTAGCTTGATAGGTAAATCTGACTCCATTATTAGTCATATATTCATCTGATTTGAAAGTCACAATGGCAGTGCGATCATAAGAATAAAATTCAGGGACTGGAAAAGTTTCAGTGCCACAAAATCTATGGACTGATCCTTGGCTGTGCTGGAATTCAATACATGTCACAAGTTACTTAATGATAGAATTCGGTTTTCTATTTCCTGATCTTGAGGTAAAAAAAATCTCTTAATACTTTCTATACCAGTTATGGAATCACATTTTAAAGTTCTCA